CAGCTCCCACACCTGGACCCTACCTATCGACCCATCAACTCATGAACCGGGGACCAACGGCTTTACTTCCCATCCGAAGGAAGGCGTGATCAGAGATGTTATGCCTCAAGAACATCCCGGCGGCGCCGACTGGTATTGAACCCAGGCCTGCTGGGGTAAGAGGTAATCACGCTTACCACTACACCACCGGCGCCGTTAGAATGTCCTTTTGGATTTATTCTTTTTTTCCATTTCTTAGGATTCCTGCTCAGGATTTTTTTGTAATAACCAATTTAATTCGTTTTTAATCCTCCCCAAAATTCCATAGGTATTCTCTACAGAATTCCATAAAAAACTTTAAATTGTTTAAATTCAGAAAATTAATCAGGGTGAAAAAACTGCACATATTAAGTTTTCTAAGTCCCAAAAAATTGTCAATCCTAGAAATTTCTGAATGCTGCCACGTGGTGGCGTTAGTAAGCATCTTGCATGCGAATATTGTGTACTGCTGTATCTTAAAACTCTGATTATTTAGAGTGGTAATGTCTTCGGCAAAGTTGATCAGGAAGCCAAAGACTGCTGTGAGATGGACAGATCAATACAGAATTCTGCCACTAGACTAGTGAACATGCACATATGTTGTACTGTTGTTTCTCCAGATCCTGATTAGGGGAAATGGCTCTAATGTTGGCCTATGGATCTAAGATTGGGCCCATCGCTAAAAATCTGCTATTTATCAATTTTATCTCGGTGAACGCGTCCTTGGGACGGTACTTATGGATATTTTTGGTCACTATTGAAAATTTAGTCGATTGCTGAATTTATGTATGGGCCCAAATTAGGGGCAATTACGCTGACATTACATCCATTTCCCCTATATAGAAGGCGTTATGTTTCCGGAAAAGTTGATCAGGTTGGCAAGAGCTGATGGGAGGTGTTCTTAAAACAGCAATGTTCTTATCAATTCTGTTTTCTGCCACATGGTGGTGCTAAAGAGCGTCTTACATGCAAATATTGTGTACTGCTGTATGTTAAGACTCTGATTATTTAGACGGGTGATGTCTTCGGCAAAGTTGATCAGGAGGCCAAAGACTGCTGAGAGGTTGACAGATTAATTCCGTATTCTGCCACTAATGGGCATCCCACACGCAAATATTATGTATTGCTGTATCTCAAGAACCGGATTATTTAGACGGGGTATATCTTCGACCAAGTTGGGCTGTTGGGTGGTGGACAGATCAATTCAGAATTTTCTCGCTAGGTGCCAGTAGTAAGCATGCAAAAAATCTTTTCTTCTGTATGTCCAGATCGTGATTAAATTGAAGGATAATGTCTTCGGCAAAGTTGATCAGGAGATCAAGGGTTGCTGGGTGCAGGCATACCAAAAATATCGCTTCATGACAGTATTTCTGTCGCTTTCTTTTTCCTACGACAGCCTTGAGATTGAGCTATAAGCGACAGCCCACAGTGACGCTGTTATACGACATGCAACGTTGCTGTCGTGTACTGCAAAATTTGCATCAGATATTTTTTGAAAACGCGCGGTCTTGAGCAGATTAGACATTCCGACATACCGGCGAAAAATATAAGCCAACCCGACACCAACCTGACTTCTACCAAACCCCAACCCTATGTTGGCCCGACATTGACCTGACATAAACACAGCATTGACCCGACATTTGGCCGACGTCGATCATAAATTGACCTTACATTGAACCGACATCGGGCCGACATGTCTATTCGGGATCATACTTTTGGGTTTCTTCCATACTCCACTGCCGTGTATCAATTGTATATAATGTCTCGTGGCAGCCTTTTCGTTACAGCCACTTGGGTAAGCTGACGTTTGTCGTCGGTTTGTGAAGGCTGTCATGACGTCAAAGAAATGTGTAAATACAGCCCATTCGGTTCACTACGTTTCAAGCACGATGATTTTTGCAAAGCGGGTATAGATGCGACTGTTCTAATACAGCTTTCATTTTTTCGTGCGTGCGCTGTTGCCAATACACTTCGAATTCAGATCTGAACGTACGGTATCTCCAGATACTGATACTATTTTATTAAACTTTTTTTTTATAGAAATTTCATTTTTTAGCTGTATCTAGAAAACTATCCCACTGAGATTTTTCTGACCATATATTTGAATTCAGCGCACAATTTTACATAAACATCATAGGTCAAACATTGAAGTTCTTTTTTTAACGTTTGTTTGTAAACTAGTGTATTAGCCATAGATTCTATTTGCACAGTTGATCACTAGATACAAAACCTTGATTGATATGGAATAGATACAGTACTGCCGTGAGTGACGTAAATCCTTTTAGTGAATTGTTCAGAAACCTGATATTTTTGTTTAACCTCGTAATGATTAAGAAAATTAGCGAAATACGATCTAAACGAAGATAAAACATCAACCTTGAAGTTTAAAATAGTTTTTTTTTTTTAATTTTCAGCACTTGGACGTGGACATGGTGGACGTCACTTATGTGTAGAAACAGTGAAAAATTCACTGTTTCTCCAAAAATGTATGGTTTCCGTCACTTTGTCTACATGCTTCAAAATCCAATTTTGTTCATGTTTGAAGTGTTTCTGGATGTCATTTAGGATACAGAAATCGAATATGGTAAAAAATAAAAATTGTCCATGCTGGCGTCTACGGCACTTTGTCATCTCACGGCAGAGTAGTCATAAAGCCCATGAATTTTGACCATCAACGACAATGTTCATCATTTTTTTAAGTTTTGAAAAAGATGGTTTATGGTCAAAATCTGACGTAAGTTTACAACTAGCTAGAGATAGTGAAAGGGACGCAATGTTAGAATTGATTGTTCCGTTAGAGAACGGCAGTGTGAAGTTTGAACAGAATTTGAAAATGAGTGATTGGAATTTTGTTGACGATATATTTGGAATTTTCTTAGTTTTGAGAAAGCTACCGATCATGTGGTAGGTTTGGAGTAAAGCGTGGTGACTTTAGAATCGAAACTGGCAAAGAAATAAGAAGATTCAATTCACTCATATATAATTGATGCTCACTAGTTCCGCCTACTGGGAGAATTTCGAATTTATCTGTTCATCTCCCAGCAGCCCTTGAACTCCCGATCAACTTTGTCGAAGACATCATCTTTCTAAATAATCAGAATCTTGAGGTAAAGCAGTACTTACAGAACCTTTGCTTGCTCACTAGCACCGCCTAGTGGCAATTCCAAATAAATCTGTCCACCACCAAACAGCCCTTGACGTATTGATCGACTTTGCCAAAGACATCACCCTTCTATATAATCAGGATCTGGAAATGTAGCAGTATATAATACTTGCATGCTCACTAGCACTGTCTAGCGGCAAAATTCTGAATTGATTTGTTCACCACCCTGTAGTCTTTCGCCTTCTGATCAACATCACCCGTCTAAATAATCAGGATCTTGAGATACAACAATACAGAATATGTGCATGTGGGATGTTCACTAGCACCGCCTAGCGGGAGAATATCATATTGAGCTGTCCACTATGCAGCAGCCTTTGACCGACTTTGCCGAAGGCATCATACTTCTGAATAATCAGGATTTTGGGATACAGCAGTACAGAATATTTGCATGGTGTGGGGTGCATACACACCCCAGGTTTCCAAAATAACTCAAAGTATGCCATGAATTGAATTCAGATTCAGCTAAAACAACTTTCCTTTATCCGATTTGAAGATACTGTGATAGTGGAACCGGTCCGTTACTTCAAATGTTTATGACATCGCTTCAAAGTAGCCTCATCATCCGAGATTTTCTAAAAATTTCCCTAGGTCTCATTTGTATCGAGTAAGATTCTTAAACATATTCTTAATTCAATCTCCATAGCACACCAGAAAAAGATTGGGATGTTTTGAGGAAAGTTCGGGAAATTTATGGAGTGAGGTTTAGAGAACTACTGCTGCCAAATTCAGAGATATTTCATAGACAAGTACAATAAGCTTTCGAGGAAAACTTAGGTGGACTTCAGGAGGTCAATTCAGATAACTTGCGGTTTCCATATCAAAGATGAGCTCACGAAACCTTCGGAGCAAATTCAGGTAACTTCTGGAAATTACAATAGGGGAAATGGATGTAATGTCGGCCTAAATGCCCCTAATTTGGGCCCATACATAAATTCAGCAATCGACTAAATTTTCAATAGCGATCATAAATAACCATTAGTGCCGTCCCAATGACGCGTTCATCTAGATAAATTGATAAATTGATAAATTTCAGATTTTTAGCAATGGGCCCAATCATAGATCCATAGGCCAACATTAGAGCCATTTCCCCTAGTACATATGAATGCTGTTGATGTATAATAATGCAAAAATTGCTTATTAGGCCATTCAGCCTCGTGCTACTAAGCCTAATTCCACTCTCTTTAAAGGGTTTAAAGTCAACTAAAACAACTACAAGATCAAGTACATAAGGCGCACAGCACAAAACATGTTTGTGTGTGTGTGTGTGTGTACAATCTAACCCCCACTGTCCGGCAGTGTTATTATGGAAGAAAACTGCTTTTTATTACCCTTAAATTAAAGCAGGTTTAGGCTGGGAGTTAAAAGGTGTTAGCTCTATTGCAGCTCCAGTGACCCATTTCAGAATGCCTGGTAATTCACGACCACTCCGAGGTCACTTTTACTTACAATAAGCCCCGCATGTTCACTCTACCTTTATCAAATGGATAATGGTATCATAAATGGCGCACAACACAAAACATAACATCAAAATAAACGCTAGCCACTATCCGTTCAGTATTTACGTAAGTAATCGCGGTTGCACTCAACGGAGAAAGTTTTTCACATTCCTTCAGTTTCTCACAAGTTTCTTTCTAACGGCGTACTGATTCTACATTGCAAATTACATTCGTTCAGCGATCTTTTTGTTCCTATGGTGCTGGCACGAGTGTTTGGATTTCCCCAGGCTTGATTTTTACGAATATTCAAAGAGATTGTTCATTTTCAAAGCAAAATTGAAGGAGTGAATCGTTCAAAGAATTGATTCTTTCCCTATACTTACTCCGAGCAAATCGGTTCACATCCCGCTTCCGTCTTCTCGTATCCCGGCTTACACTGGCAAACTCCCGGCGCAATGCACACCCCACTTCCGCATCCTCCCTCGCAGCTCGGTACGCACTTGCCATCTTCATCCTGTCCGTAGCCTACGTCACATTCACACTTTTCCACCCCAACACACCGGCCGGCGCCACAACCTCCGGTACAGCTGGGAACGCAAAACTTGTGCGTCTCGTCCAGTTCGTGTCCATCTTTGCACACACACATTTTCAGCTCCAAATTGCACTCTCCATTGTCACAGCCAATTGGACACGTTGGGACGCATCTTCCCTGGTGGTTGTTTACGTATTCCGGATAGCAGGCACAAGTGTTCGGTCCGACGCACAGTCCATTATAGCAAGGTTCGTCACAGATTGGGTCGCACTTGTGGAAGTTGTGAACGTTTCGTTCGTAGCCCTTGCAACATACTTGGATGCGACTGAGTGACGGGTCCGACTGCAAACCGGATTATCCAGATTAGAATTTGAACACTGCAAACAGATGTGCGGCTATACTTACTCCATTCCCAGCGGGAATCTGTCCATTTTGAGGTTTCACCAGCGTTATGGTTGGGACTTCGTCGAAGCAGATGCCCTTCGAGATCATAGTCTTGGTTTTGTTCATGAACTTATCCAGGGCACCTTGCGACTCGTTAGCCCGATGCAGGTTCGCCATATCCACGGTTCCTACGGGGTGATCTTCCAACACGGTTTGGTTGAGGGCTACCATGTGGCCACTTTTGACGCCACCTTTCTGCCAACTTTGACCGAAAGCAGTTTCCCAGTAGCAAAGTGCTACCAGGAGAAGCGGGACTACGGTTCTAAACATTTTCGTTCTAATTTCTCAACGGAGAGCGTCCGTCTTGTACTGCTGTTCGCTTCGGATTAAAAACAATTATTATCGCATTCGCAGAGGAAGGTTATTACTTGACCACTATGGCACTGTATGTACTTTACTTAGAAGACGGAACTTCAAGTGTATGTGGATAAAATAAAAACGGGACGCCTATCGCTCCTGATGGCGGTTTAGTTCAGCAGCACAGCGCGTGTGATATTTAATTTGATAAATGATTTACTTGACGGATGAATGGCTGCTGGCAGTCGCGGTAGAGAAGCTGCTTTTGAATGTGGCGGTACTGGTCGATCAAAAAAAAAACTGTGATTCAAACATCATGGTAGGGGAGTCGTCATCGGTTCTTGGAAAGCTATTCTAATGTGATGATTATATTAATAATAAGCTGATGGAACGATTCAAGTTTACAAGCTCTTGACACAAGTGAAGCTGATTGAATGACAATCGGGTTGATTGATTTAAGGGGCAATAATGTTCTGGTTCAAGCATCGCTCTCAGGTAGCTACAATACGTTTAATTCCTAGTTGGGTACCTGATTGGCCAGATTGGACAGCTCTAACGACAACTGACGAATCGATCAGACTTTATACTCTCCCCGGTTCCTATGAAATTATGCAAAATTGTTCGTAATGGGGAATCATTGAATTTGATTCACGTCTTATTTGTCAAAATTTTCAATAAATCATCATAGTATGAAAAAGAGCCGTCTAAATAGTAATGCTGTCTGAGAGATAGACGTCTTTATGCTAAATGTTCGTTTGAGCACAGACAAACAGACGTAACTCTTCATTGTGTATCTTCGTTCATGCATTTAACGGTTGATTTGAATATTATCAGTTCCGCGAACTACTCGCCGCAGCGCTGGCATCAGATCACTTTGACGTTTCTATACATTCTATAGAACTTTTATGCAATATTGTTTACGAGTTAGCGAGCAAGCTTGTTTTCCGCGAGAAGCCAGAGAGATGTCGTTACTGAAGTTATATGTTTTGAGATACTATGTTTTCAAGAACAAGTTTTTCAAAGAGTTACGTCTGTTTGTCTGTGGTTTGAGTGTCATCAAGAAATAACGAATTTGCTCAGTACAATATTAACAACACTCATAATTTATTACTGCTTTCCTTTAATCTCATCGATAACCTTCACCGGTGCCATCTTCGTATCGGCGAGGATTGATTTCGAAAAGTGGTCTTCGTCTGTATTTTCCCCAGTCGCCGACGTCGTCGAACTATTCAAATCCGTCATCGGAGGATATTGAATTTCATCGTAGATGTGCTCCAGACTGTACTTCCGCGCCGGCAGGTGATGATGACCCGGAGGCGGTTTACTCAGGGTGAAATTGTAATTGTACGGGGATGATTTGTTCACCGAGGTGTTGTTGATCGGGACATCGTAGTGTTCTGAAATTGTAATTCAATAATTAGAATAATTTCTAAATTCTATGAAATATTATACTGACCAAGTTCGCCATTTCCCTCCCGATGGTTCTTTGCTTTCACTCTGGTGTAGATAACTTTCGGTATGTCCGGTAGTGGTTCCAATATTCTTGGACTGTCGGGACCCCGTTCTCCGTTGACAGATGTTTGCCGTTGATGCTGCTGATGCTGATGAATCATCTGTTGCTGCTTCATCATAGTTTTCCGATTGATTTTTTTCATATAAGCCACTACCGACAGGAGTAACACTAGAGCCAACAGCAGGCTCGAAATGGTAACTACGGCCTGTGTGTGATTGACTTGCTCATCTGGATCTTCGTTGTTTGAATCTTTCTTATCATCTACAACTTCGACTAAATCCGTACGGTCATCCGATTCGACAAAGACCAGTTCCGGTCCTTTAGAACTTTTACTGTGTTCGGTGGTGGACGATTCTGATGATACAATGAAGGTGATTTCAACTTTGGTCGTAGATGCCACAATCTCATATACGGTATCATGTTTCGATTCCTCAGTCGTGGTCGTTGAATTCTCCATCGGAATTAAGGTGATGTTTGTATTTAATGGTAAGTATTCCTGATAAGATTGAGCATAGGTTGAATTGATCGAATCGATATCACCGTTGTCAGTTGTGACTTGCGGAGTTGTACTGGAAGTACTGTCCACTTTGACCCACTGACTCATCAAAATTCGCTCTGTGCTTTCACCCGAATAGTCTTTTTCCACGGTTCGAGTGATATTTTCGAACATGACGAGACCGTCCTCCGCTAAACATTTACCACTTTCCGGGTCACATCTGCTGGTACTGCAGTTACATTGACTCTTGCACAATGTTCCATAGAATCCACTGGGGCAAGACGTCTCACAGCTGAAAGAATAGAAATCCAATAAGTTATCACAAGCTTAAAACAAAAAAACGTTCAACTCAACTGATTCCCGATCCATCCATCCGTACACCGGCAATGACCTGATTTGCTGTCGCACAACGAATAGTTCTGACAGTGACATCGGTGTTTGCAATTCTCGCCCCAAGTTCCGGTGCGACATCCTGTAATAAGAACGACTGTTTTTACGACTCAAAATAAAAACCATCGTAGCTCACTTTGGGTACAGTGTTTTCCGGTGAAGCCGGCCTCGCAAGTGCAACTGTTGGGCAATTCACACAGGCCACGTCCACAGCCACCGCGGCAGACGGGGCGACAGGAAAGGGTTGTAGCAACGGTGGGGGTGGTGGCTTCCTCTGCGAGAATCTGCTCGTAGCCTTCGCAGCAGTATTCGATTTTTCGCATTCTGGTGACGTTCTGGGAAAAAATATAGATTTGATTGCTTTATTATAAACAAGTATAATTTCCAACATTTACATTGAATGATCAACTGTGTAGTATAACAGCTTCACAATTAATTGTTTACTGATTTCCAAGCCGAATCAGTCTTTAGCCTTATAAAGGAAGCTCACTAACTATTTGGTAATAAATTCAATTGACGTTTATTAAAAAATACCATAATTTATCGAGCTCAATTAATTTTCAAGTTTATGCATAGAGTCGTCATATTTTTGACAGACTGGAATGAAATGAAAGTAGAGTTCATTTTTCTCGTAGTAATCCCCATACTAATTTCTAAAAAAAAAAAACTGATAAATACACTTAATATATGGTAAGTGTACTATATTTCACCACCCACTCATAACATAAATTTAGTTCACCTTGCTTTAAAACGAATTTCACTGATTTTTTCCCGGAATATTTTTCTGATATCTTCTGAAAGTTTCTTCCAACTACTCCTTGAAGATTTTGACCGGCTTATGATTCCTCTACCGACTTTGCACGGAAGTTTCTTCCAACATCTCCGGAAGTATTTTTTTTCAACTTGCCCTGGAAGAATCTTCCAAATTTCTCTGAAACTTTCTTCCATCGTTCACCGAAATTTTATCTGATCTCCCCAGGAAGACTCTTCCGACTGCAACTCGTAAATTACTCCTACTTTCCCAAAAGATCTTCTGTATTCCCCTGGAAGTGTCTTCCAATTTTGCACGGGAAGCTTATGGAGGGTTCCCTTTAAAAATACGTTAAGCTTTTCCCAGCAGTTTCTTTCAACGTCCCCCGCAAAGTTCTTTCACCTTCTATTGGAAGTGTCTACTGGTTCCTCTGGATAGATTCTTTCAATTTTTCCAAGAAAATCAAATAAGTAAATTTACACATAAGAATTGTGTTCAAAGCACGACCGTCGTTGACGTAGGGCCACGAGATTATTTTTGCTGCAGCATAAAATAATATATGTATTAATAATAAAATAAATGGTTTAGACATTTAACTGCAAAATGAAATTGTAAGAATATTGATTAAAACCAAAAGTTAAGATTATTTTTTGCAATTAGAAAATCAGTTCCTTTATTATTAATCATTTGATTCCAAACACGTTCACCCAACTTTCGGAAAAAATTTAATGATAGTCATGGCAAAATAACTTTAGAAATCAAAGTGCACCTGACATCACACATCTTCATGACAGACAAGTTGCTTTCAACTAACTTTTTTTTCTATTTTGTTAATTAAATTAAATGATATATTACTTGCTAAATATCGATTGTTTGTTTTGTTTCCAAATAACAATAGCATTTACATAGAACCAGAGCTTAAAATTATTGACTGGCTAGGCTGAGTTTGAAAGCACTGCACTATTCAATCCATTGCTCTGTGCAGACCGTTTGTACCAAACGGTAAAGTACGAGGCAATGAAAGAGTCAAAAACATTCAGTCACTCACGGGCAGGCGACGCACACCGAGATGGGAAATGACAGGTGGGCAGGAACTCACAGTCTCCCAGTGTTGGTGAGTTCTTTGCCGTTAATGTTCACGAAAAGTTCACTATTTTGCTATGCAGAAATTCAAAACAAAAAATTTTATCTGCGGATTTGAACAGTTTTTGACCTGTTTCATACTACCGGAAGGTGTATGCTGGTAAAAATGCCGTGCCAAACTGATTTCCTACTCAATTAATCAATCTTTGATGTGAAATTCGCTAATAAATACGAGGCGCATTTCTTATAGCAAACATGCCATAACAAAATGGGCATGGTTCATTTAAGTAAACAAACTAACACTTCTTCCGACTGTGGCAGCTATGTGTTAGCCGTCTCGGACGCACACCGCTTGCCTTCGCTCACACAGCATGTAATTGAGTCATTTTTCCATAGAAAATGTACGCTCAGTCATTCAAAACAAATATTGGGTACCATCACGGCAGAATAAACGGGTTGACTGAGTGCTCGGCTGTCAGTGACTCGTTTACCTTTGAATCATTCAGACTCTCACGAGGCAGTGAATGATGAGGCAGATGGCAGTTCATATTCATATCAAAATAACTCAATGAACCTGACTGTTTTGCGCACTGCATAGAACTATCTAAATACTTATTGGTTGGTTTGCGAGTTCGTGGGAAGTTATCAAGCCGGCTTCATCGACGGCCGATCGAAAACGGACCAGATCTTCACCGTACGGCAAATCCTCCAGAAATGCAGTGAATACCAGGTCCCAACCGAGGGGGGCGACACATCTAAATCTCAATTCTAGATGCTCATAAAATCTCACACTAGTGAATAAATCTTCGAAAAATCTTCTTTCATTTCTCGCATCTACTTGCATCGCGCATCATCTTGTTGCAGGAAATCTTCAAATCGAGATAAATCTGTTGATGTTGTACAAATAAATGTATGTATGTATGTATGGTTGGTTTGGTTTGTAAAAGTTTGGATTGTTAAGGTTCATTTCATTTGGAATAAATCGTGTTTTGAACGCGAAAACGTGTACATCTTACTGCGCTTGTAAGAATTAGAGAGTGATAGTCGAGGACAAAAACCGGCAAATCATACAAACAAACGTACAACGTAGAAAATGGTAGTTCTTTAACGATTTTACACGATTACGATAACGATTACACCACTACTAGTAAGAGACTAGAATCGTTAATCATGGTAAAAGTTTCCTCCTCCCTTGTTCGATTTGATCGTTTTTGGTGCGCTAACAATTCTAACGTTTGGAGCGCATTTAATGTCCTTTTTGATATTTAGTGCCTCCGCAGGTTCTCCCTAAAGTACCGCTTCAGGGTGATTTGGTAGCATTACGAGGTTTTGTGTTTCTTCCTTGGATCTCGCCGAGCCATTTCGGGCGTCGAGTGGAGTGGCAGCTCCCGCCACATGATAATTTCGCCACTTCGCCACTTCGCCACATCGTACTGGCCACATCGTACTCGTCCGCAGTGGATGTCGAAGACGAACCCGTCAGCCACCGTATCACCCAGTTTTTTTAGCAAGTACAGAAGGAATTCCGCTGGGATGGCGGAAATATCGAACCAAATGCATCCACAGATCTATAACACCAATGCCATAAACGACCGCACCGGCGATTCCCATTCGAAGCAACTCTGAACAAATTGTCCTACTTCTATAAAATACATAATCACGGCTTTCAGTCTGGTTACGTTCCTCAGGAACAGCTGACGTTTGAATTTCGCCTCCTGTTGCACTAGTTTTTCCTCCTTCGGTTCGAGGACTCGCAGCGCCTCACGAACCTTGCTCCATGCGACCGTCATCTCGAGAAGGATCTGAGGGTGCGTTCCCTTCGCTCGGGAGTACATTTTCTTATCCTTCAGTGCGTACCACCGCTTCTCGCCGTTTTTTATTTGCAGCAGTGGAATCATCACCCGGCCTAGGAACTCCACCTTGTCGTCGTCGAAGACGGTTATATCCAGCACCGTTGGCATGTATTTTACATTAAAAGTGAAGATTTTGTTCCAATTGGGTGTTAACGTTTTATACTCGGTTTGGGATTGCAATCTAGCGTTGATTAGCTCTATCACTACGAATGCTTGCCTCCGATATCCACCGCGGCGAGGCCGGTCGTACCGAACACCTTCACCGTCAGGTGGCTCACGTCTCGCAAGTTATGCAGTGAACGGTGCCATATGTATCGTTTCTGCTGCTGCGTCCGCTCCTTGGGATCCTCCCGGTATGACACTCCTCCAGTGGATGCCACATGCCGTGAGTGCGTTCCCGTGGAAGATTTCGCAAATCGATTGTGCATTTGCCGTACGTATTGTACTTCCTGCATACTATCAGCTCCAGCAGTTGGTCATCGTCGAACTGGTGCAGGTCGAACTGTTCCAACCACCGAGCCCGGTAGTATGTTTTACTTTTGTATTTGTCATTGCCTAACCTAAATCTAACGTACACATCCTTCAGGACATTCTCGGCGTCCGGTGGGACTCCTGTGGCTTCGATTTGCACTATCTTCACAACGGAGGACCAGATCTGCGACTTGAGCCAACGGGATGCGTTGGCCAGTTTGAGATTACGTTGCTCCTTATCCTCCTGCGTCTTGGGCCACAGAGTCACACTGAGCTTGATTTCCCCGAGATCCTTGGAGGCCCGTTGTGCATCTTCCAGCTTGATGGTGAGCTCTTCCGCTGGAGCTGAACAGCGAGGTTAGATGCAGCTTAACTTAACTTAAATAAGTCAGTTATTAAAAATCAATCAAATAGCAAATGTTGTAATTGAATGAATGGAATTTCAATTTGATTGTTTCATAGTAGCATATTGAACTGCCAATAGAATGGATCAAACCCCATATATACAACATATAATTCTAGTTATAGTTATAGTCAGAGATCGGGTGCTACTCAAATTTCTGTGAGCAAAACACATGGTGTTAGAAGACAGCACTTTCATTTCGTGAAAGCGCATTTTGAAACGGGCAGTACATATCATATTTTTTGTGCAACGGTGTAAAGTCTATTTATCCCTATCTCCCTATCTATCTTTCTTTTGATTTTTCTGAGAGTGTGCTTTTGCTATAGCTGTAGTCATGCTTGGCATGCACAGTTGTACACACCAACTGCTCATTTATTAATAACGTTTCACTCAGTTGTTGAAATTTGCTTTTCTTTGAAGTAATTGATAGATTAGGATCACAGTTTACTATAAATATGCAAAGAGTAGGTAAATCTTAACATTTGAATCAACACCAATTAATTTTTACACTTAAAGTCCGAGATGTGCAGCGAGCATTTCTCATTTCATTTTTAAAACGCAAAAATAAATACAGTCCATGAATAGAATTAATATCTACATACTTTCAGGTATTTATAACAGGTTTAAACTCTATTCTATCTACTGCTTCAAAAAGAACTATGTTTCGTCAACTGTGTGCAAAGTTATTAGCAAATGAACAGTTCGTGACCAAAACTGTGCATGCCAAGCATGGCTGTAGTAGAGTTCGGCTAGATACGGTAGGTTCTTTTCAAG